AATTTGCCACACAAAAAAAGCTCACCCACCCCTGCCCTTCCCTGTTAAAGTTATTTCCACGGCTTTTGTACTCTATCATATTAGAGGGTTTCTTCGGGACAGCTCGGGACAGCTCCTGTACCAGTCAGTGTTCTTGTCCTCCTACAGTCTAGTGTGAATTGCCGGACCCCAATGGATGAGGGCGGAAGTGGTGTAGTGGCAAGTGGCACGCTTACCACGCGAGCGGTCCGGGATCAAATCCTGGGTCGTGAGTCGCCCGGGCCAACCAAGCCTTCCATCCCTCCGGGGTCGGTTAATTGGTACCAGACTTGTCTGGGAGGATAAAAACACTGACTTGACATCGGCTGGCCCCCCGCAAGTCATTGTATAGGCCACATCGCATTCAAACGCCACTACGAATGTACAAATGGAAGTAGAATGCGTGCCGCATCCCAAAAAGGGATTGATCAACGGCAAATGCTTTATCCTTTTTATCCTTATAGGGATGGATGGCTTGTAGCGCCCAGAATCCTAGAGTTGAGCAGAAGTTGAATGTAGTGCTCATCCGAAGAGGAAGTCTAACGGTAGGCTCCTCATGTCATTTCAGACTAAATGAGTACTACGCACCCAGAGAGAGTGAGGCAGATTGTGCCCTAGAACAGGGGTACCGACTGCCTCAGTACTGCCACTACAGTGGGTCCACCCTACTTTCGTAAGGAAACCAGGGAGGAGAATTTTTGTGAGTGTGACCCGTAAAAGCTCATGAAATCACCCTCGATACATTACTTTTAGAAAAAGCGTACTCACAGGCACATCTTATAGGGATGCCATAGTGGACAATTGTTGTTGACGCGATGGTGGCGATCTTCCCACTGTGGACACTGAGGTGCTGGTTTACGGAACTTCTCACGCTGCTCTGGAAAGTAGGGTTTTTCTCAAGGTTGACATAAATTGGCGGTGCGGCTAGCAACTAGCGCTGTTTGACTTCACGAAAAGCTGGAGAAAACACTTTCCATAAAGAAAAGTAAAATATTACCCACCTGAATCTCTTGGTTCACGTCCCTTGTACTGATTGGGGCTGTTGTTGGCTGGGGTCGAAAACGGATTTCGCCCATTTCCACGACCCGGTTTCCAACCGCACTGCAAATAGCACCATTAGTCTCAGTGCTCGTTTCCCTGTAATTGGCTCACCACCGACTTGTCTGCCCCTACCTCCTGTCCATCCATCGCCTCGTCCTCCTTTCGCATTTTTCCACCATAACCGTCATCGCCGCCGTCTTTCCACATGTCACGAATAGCGTACGGGGCACGGCGTTTCTCGTCATGTCCCCTTTTGGAATGGATTGTGCTGGAATGGATTTCGACGCTCCGTTTGACTGAACGGATTCTTCTGCTCGCGCTGCGGTTCCGTGCCACCCACGACCTCCTGTGTGGCGTCTCGTCCACATTTTGCACAAAAGCGCGGCGGTTCCATCAACTGTGCGTACGGTGGGGGACCGTACGACACAGGCACAAATTGATTCTGTGGTAGGAAGCCCGGCAGCATCTGAAAATGTAAAAGTGTTAATCGGCTTTAGAATAGGGGCAATTTCACACTCAAACTCAGGTCAAAATTGATCTACGCTACCTATCTGGTTCTTTTGGTTTAGTGGTAGGGCGGAAGAGGAGTAGTGGAAAGTGGCGCTGCTTACGACGTGCGCAGTGTGGGGATCAAATAATGTCCGCTACGCCGTCCGAACCAACCAAGCCATTCATCCCTCTGTTGGTACCAGACTTGTATGGGGAAATGAGAGCACTGACCTTTGCTGCCATCGGCTGACCCTTCCCGGTTACGTGGCTGCTTGAGTTGTTTATCAGTGGTACGGGTGAGCCAAACACAGCGTAACAAAAGTTTGAGCGTGTGAAGTCGCAGTACTGCATAGGCGATAGAGCGCAGGTGAGAGCATCAAATTGAAACCATTCAAAGGACCGAGCTCTAGTTGTCCGTAGATCCCCTTGCCCTTCGTCCCCCCAGTCATTGTATAGGCCAAATCAATCAAAACTGCCACTACGACTATGAATGAGAGTTGAAGCCTAAAACGGACTGATCAACCTGCTGAATATCCCATCCTTATTCCTAATACTTGTGATATAGCACTTTGCAGTACTCCGAGTACCATGGTGAAAGCCTAGGGAGAAGGTCACCAACCTGAGGGGCATAGATATTTTGAGATCCTCCATCATCGATACTGTCCACAGACGCGTAGAGATTCTGACTGGAATCGCTGAAATCAATAACTATGAATGTAGTCTTCAACAATTTATTTCAAAAAATATAAGTATTGTAGCACTCTGTCTTTTTTGCAGATATTCATTCAATTTTGTCGTAATATTCACAGTGCAACTGCACTGGTCCAGAAAAGATAACAGGATGGAAGATTCAAAGTGAATGCGTGAAAAACTCACTCCGAAAAATATTTACCATAAGAAAATGACCACCTAAAATCGCACTTCCAACTTTGCTTTCAAGTTTCAAGTTCAATATCTGACTCTGAGGACTGGTAAACCGTTGACCTCCTCAATCACTTCTTAAAAAGGTTTGAAAAAGGAAAGTTGGAGATTGTTCGACTGGGAATCCCCTCGCCCCCGAATAAAAGCAAAATTAATCCACCAGTTCTCATAATTCTCTGAACATCAAATATTTGTTGAGCTGCACCGTGAATAATGGCTTCCTATGAAGAATGTGTGTGTTACGATCGGGCCACAGATCAGATCAAGCCTAGGCCTTCCAACTGGTTCCCAAATAGTGTCCCCGGGGTTCATTTTATAGCATCTTGGCGCACCTTTTAATGCAAGCAACAAAAGAATGAATGGGTGATTTTTTCCTATTTCCGCAGTTTGCGTGGCTATGTTTCTTCAGTATTTAACGAAACAGTTGCGCCTTTTCTTCGGTTTTCCCTACAGTTGTAGCGGCTTCGCTAGCAATTCTGATTTTTTAATGCATACGTAGCCTCTAGCTAACCTCCCCTTCAAAAAGCGAGAAAGTGTCGGGTGCAGACCAAACACCACAACTGACGACGGCCTCCAAGTAAATCTGGTTAGAAGTTGTTCATAGTGATAGCTGATTTCTGGTAAATGATAGTTGTAATTAGTGACAATCGATAGAATACAACTGCAACAGGCTAATCATTTCATTGGCAGAAAACATTAACATTTTGTGAAGGCCGTCGTCACTTGTGGTGCATGGTCTGCACCCGACACTTTCTCGCTTTTTGAAGGGGAGGGTACTACCGTGCCTCTACTCATCACCAACACGAGCCCTTCGATACGACGCTAGTAGATTGGCTGCGCTTTTGCCGACAACTTGCATAGATATATCTACGAGGTCAAGGAACCGACTTGTCCTTGCTCTCGGCCGAGTCGGTCAGCGCCTATGAGGAAGACAAAACGGCGCACATTGAAAAACTTCAGGAGCGGCCTTGTTCACGATATCGCCGCTCGATCGCTGACTGTCCGTCAGCATCGTCGTCATTGCCGTGCCTGGACCGAAAAGCGCCTCGCTGAGTTCAGGCTGAGCAGTTCTGCCGCCGTTTGACCGCGATTAATTGCGCGATCGGCGATAAGTGACGGTTGGGGTCGTTACCACGCCGCTAACGATGATCTAGAAGAAACTTTGAGGAGATTTGACTCTGATGACCTTCAGCCCACTGCATGGCTCTGGAGTCAGATTTAGCCTTGGGAGATTTTCTCAATTAGTCTCAAGTCCTGTGGTAACCCAAAAATGATCCCAC